ATAAAGGGGTATCAAGGACTTTAAAGATTGACTCAGTACTGTATTTAGAATTAATGTGCTATTTGTTGAAAATCTTATTGTAGGTCATTGTACATGTTGTAGGACATTCTTAATACATGAAATAAAATATAATGCAGCAGTGATATATATATATATATATATATATATATATATATATATATATATATATATATATATATGTGCCTAGTCAGTCAACATTATTGTTGATCGAAAATGTAGAAAATAAAAACTTACGTTTTAGGTTTTAACGTTCATTTAATCCATTAAATCAATCAATAAATGGTATTGCGGTTAATACTAAATTAATGCAATTACTATTTAAAAAAACGATGGTAAGAAACCTTATGTATGGCTTCTTTATTGTATATCTACATTGAAGGCGACATTTGTGTAGTCTTTGGTTATACAATAAACATTATATACACTTGCTATGATTATATCGTTTATTCTTTAAGTTTAGATGTAAAGTGTATGACTAATAACGAGGAAGATAAGTAAATAAAACAATAAAATGACTACAGAACTAACATGAACTTTACCATTGATACTAATTACGGTTGAAATACTTTTTTAATCATGAATAAAAAACAAAATATCAGGACTATTCGTGTTATATAATATGTCAAGAAAAATACAAATTAAAGTAAATCAAAATTCATAATTCAAGTTGACAAAGTATAAGGCACTTTTAAATGCTTTATCTTATTGGTATCGCAATAAGTTTTGGTTTTTGAAGCATACGAAGACAAATGTCATACGAGGAAATACGGTCCTAACCAAACGTTAGCCTTAAACCCACAGTTTCGGAATGAATAGCCAAACAAGTTTCAAGTAAAGCAAATATCAAAATTTACCTGTTATTTAATTTATTAATATGAATAATACTACATTTAAATTTTCAAAATATATAGTTGAACATTTTTAATGATTATTTTGTGTATTATAGTGGCATTTTGTATTAAGAGCACAATGTAGTCTAATATTATTGACAAAAACTTGAGAAGTCAATGCACAGTATGACATGAATATTTTAAGTTTTGACGCAGCCGAAATCAAGTTTATAGAAAATAAAAAAATATAAAACAATGTCAGCGGGAAATTTAATCGCATGAAGAGGACATGAAGTGAATGTTGTTTTATGAATACAGAAATAATGAACTCTGTATTTCGTCAAAGAACATTTCAATTGATGATGTCATTTAATTTGTCACATTCATAGATAATGAAATTTGCACTTAGTTATATTCATTGTGCAAAAGTATGCACTTGTTGATTTACAATTTTAATCTTATCGTTTTTTACATGATGAAATATGAATCTATTATTATAGGAAGACAAAAATGTAAAACAAGGTGATCATCAAAATGTTTAGATTGCTATTATATACAGCAAATTCGAGATAGAAGGTGAAATAAAACTATTTTTAATTATGTTAACTGTAAATATATATGGCTTAACATTACCTTGAGCTCAGATATCACTATCATATTATAAGGATTATAAACACTATTATTTCTATGTAGTACTTTGTTTTCCTATAGTACATTATGAATTTGCAATTTCATTTGCAACATAAAAAATGACGTTATCCTAAGTATGCTTTCTCTTCATAATGGCGTCATTTATACCACGTGACCTGTAAGAAAGGATTTAGACAGGTTTTTCCTAGCACCGGTTTAAATAGTAGATACTCTTGTCTGAGATGCAAGAAATAGCATGAGTACACACATCCATTTAAACTCATGAAAGGATGCTATTTCGAGTTCAGAGATTAAAATACAACCATCATTATGAGAAGCAAACACAAAAATGAAATTGTGCTTATGTCATTTATTACAATTGTCATTATATAATTCGCTGAGTAAAAGTGAAATACATATTATTCACGTAGTGATTAAACATTGTAATAAATTAAGCTTAACCTAGCCAATATCTTTTCCGATATGTACAAAGACAAGATGGTGCATACAAAAACATATACGTAGAAAAGTTTAGAAATTCTTTCATGCAAAAACATAAACAATATGATAAAATAAATTCTAACATCAACCCTGATCGAGTGATTATAATACAAATACAAACAACATTACAAGAAGCAACAACAACAATTGTTTTGTGCTTATGTCATATTATTAAATATTATAATTGGCCGGTAAAACAGTAAAATAACATGTTATGTACACAATGACTAAACAATGATATCAATTAAGCTTAACCCAGCCGAAATGTCTTATATACAACATGTACAAGAGAAGATTGCGCATACAAAAGCCACAATGTGGAGTCTGGTATTTTGGCAAAAGTCCTATAAAAACCAGATCACACTGCACGATCCAAGAAATGGCATCATCGTGTAACAGTATGACCCTGTCTGATATGCAAGAAATAGTATAATGTAACATACTAAATGTAACACATATGTTCTCTTTATCTATACCCGAATACTTTCACGTTGTCAAAATTCACTGGTGTATAACTTAGATTTACATGAATTTTGTGACACAAAAAATGTAAGAATAAAATGGTTTCGGAAAATTTATATTTATACATGGGTTTGTCAACATAATATATTTAGTAGATAGTATATACAATTTACAAAATATACTTTGTGTGTTCATATTAATTAATATGTAAATCCAAGAAAAATACAAATATAGACACGATGAAGCAAATTTCCATTATCTTTAATCAATCCGAGTCTATATATTTTATGCAATTGTTGTTTTCATTTTTTTCTGAGAGTTCTCCAAATTTCCACAACTTTACTCTGACAAGTAAACAAATTTAAGTTTAAACATATAATAAATGAGAAGAAAATATTATTGTAATCTGAATCATTTGAAACGACGTCTGGATACAGTGACCAACTAATCGACCTTCCCCAGTCTCCGGTCTTCGACGGTCAAAAATGCTGTACAATGTCCCACAGCATCACGTCATGTCACGTGATCTCCTCATATTCGGGGTTTGTTTTGGTGTCAGCATAGATTGGATGGATATACATATTTCTAGCTGCTACAGAATCATGGCTTGTCCTTGTCTGCATGTGTTCTATTTGTATTAATGACACATTTCCAGCTGAAGTATCAGCTGGCATAGCATATAAATGATCTGTAAGATACAGACAATTATATTAGAGTATATAAATACAGTGTTGAACATAATGTTATATAGTTACAGTTTTGTAATTTACATTAATTTTTGTTTTTCTTTCATTCTTTCTTTCTTTAATTTTCTTTTATTTTCCAGAACAGGATCAGTTTGCTTGAATGAACTATAAAAAATGCAAATGTTACAGAAGAATTATATATCATATAAAAATTAGTATGTTTAGTTTCTTGCTTTTTGAAACGAATGACAAAACCGTGGATATTATCTACACTAGCATGTCATGATATAACCCTTAGCTAAAGGAAACTATCTGTGTAATGAAATTAAAAGGGGAAATTGTCTCTGTCATTAATTGTCTCTGTAATTAATTGTTGAAAGAAATCAAAGGATACAAAACTCAACAAAACTGCGTGTTTCAATATTTTTACCCGAATAAGACACACTCCCATATATTGCAGGTTCGGCGTTTGATTCGATATTTGGTAGTGTAATGGCATTTGCATGAAAATGACTCGTTCTTCCGCGACTAAAAAAACAAAAAGGACACTTTATAGAAAATTCATGAAAACAAATCCGAAATTAAATGCAGAGTCATTTATCAAATCTTTTGAATGAAATTTTCAATTTAAGTAGCTTCAGTTTCAATATTTTTGTTGTTTTATACAATTTAACATAATTATCAAGTAATGTAACTCTGATTAAAGGATAACCTTTTTATAATGGTATATACTCTTGGACAATATGTTTTATAAAAAAATTATATGTATTGTAACAGAATGAAGTTAGATAAAATAGTTAGACGTTCATAAGAAATATATTACATTAATATGTGCCAACCAATAACAAAGTGTACTAACTGACTAGCTAAACAAGATGTAATTCAACGTTATCTTACTTAATCAGTTGCCGTTAACTTAACATATATTTTACCTTTTTCTGATCAGAACAAACGTTACTGCAACAGAATATATAAGAAATACAGCAACAAATGTCGCTAGAATTACGACGTCAATAGGTGTTGATTTAATGCCATACACATCTGAGTCATCTAAACAAAATTAGAAAAATGATGGAAATTAATTTAATAGCCATGCCATGTTTCTATTCTGAAAACTTTATCATACAAATTTTTCCAACAAACGCATAGTAAACTATGAATAAGCAAAATAATTTCTGTAGTCTTTTAGAAAAACGTTGATATCTGTTAAAAACAATCTTGAGCTAAATTTAAGCCTAATGTATAAATAATGTCAATTTAGGTATCGTTATGTCGAACCCCAACAAGGTCCTAAAATACGATCACATGCTCTTTCTTCCTTTTTGTAGATTATTTGCAACGTCGCAGTCAATAGTAAACTTAAATCGCACGTGCCTCTTTCTATTACTTAATTATAGCAAATGACAAACATAACTACACGACCTTTTACAATTTTCCAAACGGACTCCGTAATTCGGTATCTCCTTAAAAATAAAACAAACTAGCCAGGAAAGATAAAAAAAGACTATAAAATGTGTTATTAAGTTAACAGTTACATTTATCGAATGTTATAAGAACTGAAAAAAATGAGTTAATCGATTGAGACATGGGACATCCCCTGTCATAAATGTAACAAGATTTTGTTGTAAGGTTTAAAGAAAACGCCTCTGTATATTACCAACATCGAATAAGCCCGTATCTATATCACATGACAAAGTGCGATAATTCCTGCTACATATTTTGTCACATTTGTTTCCGAAGTATCCCTGCTTGCATACTTTATTACATGTTCCTGTCACAGAGTGGCACGTTCGATCTATACATAAATAACTACAGACCTGGTCACAAAGTGGCCCATAGAAATGATCATTGAAACACCGGCTACAATTGCCTAAACTGTAACAAATACAATTGCTTGTACACTCACACTTTTTTCCATGGTCTTTATCAACACAGCCATCACTGCATGTCCCATTCTCTTCAAAACACGTATTATTGAGGCAATTATGTGGACAACGCTTATCGCAATACTTTCCCCAATAACCTTTTTTGCAGCCGTTGTAACACATGCCACTATCTGCGTTACATGACATATTAAAACAATTCGAAGGGCATTCATGAAACTCACATTTGCTTCCATACATGTCATCTGCACATTGTTCACAATGACCTGTATTGATATTACAAGAAGTATTATCCTTACAGTAACCACATTGTTGGCTACAATTTCGACCAAAGTAACCATTTATGCAGGAATTACACAATGATTCGTCTGTGCATTCCAGACACTGCGAGGGACATGTTCGTTCACATTGTGTACCATAAAATCCACTTGTGCATTGTTCACAATTTCCATTCATTAAACAATAATCTTGCAAACAACGTTCGGAACATGTTTCATTACAGCGATTCCCATGATAACCGTGTTTACAATTATTGCAAGCACCAGAAATAGTGCATGAATCCATACAATTTTGCGGGCATGTAAGGTTGCAGAACTGTCCATAAAACCCTGGTAAATACGAAACACACGATTGGTTAATCTGACACCGATTATTCGAACAATTTTCTGGACATTTGTTTTCACACTGATAACCCCAAAATCCATCTTTACATGAGTGACATTCTGTAAATGATGTACAAAGATTGCAGGTATTATAACATCGCCTTTTGCAGTTTTGACCATAATACCCAGGGCTGCAAGAGTTGATACAATTTTCATTTGAACATGTAAAGTTGCAATTAATGCCGTAAAACCCATTTTTGCATTTCGTGCAGTTTGTTTCTGATAAACATGAAAAGCAGTTGTCAGGACAATCCCTTTCACAGTTTTTACCGTATTTTCCGTCTACGCAGTTCTCACATGGCCATTTGAAGAACGGCTTACATCGTTCACATCGACCTGTCCATTTATCACATTTGTTATCAAGACACCTATTTGAACATTTACACATTTTCGATCCATGATATCCAGGATAGCATAAAGTACAATTTCCATTTAAATCACATGTCGTGCATCCTTCCGGGCAGTCAAATTCACAATCAAGTCCAAACTTTTCGGGAACACAATGATTGCAATAATGACCAATATGTGTTTCCTTGCATGAGCAGTTACCCATGATCATGTCACAAACATTGTCTTTGCATCCACGGGAACATCTTTGACCGCATAAATTACCGTAAAAACCATTTTTACATTCAGAGCATTCATTTGGTGAAGAACAAGCTGCGCATTTTTCTTGACAAGGTGAACATTTAGAATTAGACAAAAAGTAACCTTTACGACATGACTGGCAACTAGTACCATTTAATTGAAATTCTTGGAGACACAAATCGCAAACAAAATGCGATTTGCAAGTCTTACAGCCACTCGAACATTTTGAACATAAATGACCGTTTAAAAAATAACCAGTATCACATTCTAAACATTCGTCAGCCGATGAACATTTTTTACAACCTTTCGAGCATGGCTGACAAACAATTTTATTTGTAATATCATGTCGAGCATAAAATCCAATGCCACATGTTTTACACGTTTTGTTTATTGAAAAATCCTTACAACCTTTGGAACAGCTCTTGCATTTCTCCTCCAGCATATAATAGCCCGTTTCACACTCATAGCAGTAATCGAATGACTTACATTTGCAGCCAATCGGACACAGAAGCTGAATTGATTCTGAAACAACATTAATATATCTTTTTTAGAATTCTAAACGCTAATTTTGTATACTGAAAATTAATTCAAGACACTTTAGTTCCATCATTTATTCAAAACATCTGAAACTTTTTTTTATTATAACTCATTTCAAAGGGATTCGTTATTAACAAATGCATCATGTCAAAGAGATGGAAATAAGATATCTAACTCTCTTTTCAAATAACAAGCAAGATATTTTTTTTGTACAATAGCTGTAGAAATACTAAATTATAAGGCAAGAATGCACAGGTATTTGATTTTACAATAATGCACGATAAACCAATTACCTACCACAGCATACTATCACGAAAAACAAAAATGTTAATGTCGAGGATAACATCTGAAAATAAAAGGAAATATGACAGCAATTAAGATAATATGTTTATTCCTGGAACAAACAGTAATTCATATAAACTTGGGAATGCTACTGTTAATCCTGTTGTTTTTAATTTATTCAACGGATTCGTGACAAGGACAGTCGTTTGCAGCCTTGAATACGTGACTTTTGAATATTTGTTTCATTCGACCCGTAAATTATCTGTCGAGAAATTAGATAAAGACATGAAATTATTTTCTGTTAAGACATAATTATAAATTCATGATCATTGAGTTCAACACTTTAAAGTGTTGAGAATGGAGTATCGCTCCATATAATTTTGATGTATTTTATGCTTCCAAGGGATAACTTTGTACTCAAGCCATTTTAATACTCTCATAATTATATCCTAAATTGGCAATAAACATTTATATCCTAATTTAAGTATTAATTTGATTTTTATTTCTTATACAAATCAATGCTTTAAGTTTACATAACAGAGAAAAAAATTACTATTTACAAACATTAAAACAGTTGAACTGTGGAAACAGAACATTTATAATATATGTCAACATATAAATATATAAAAATGCGTATGTAAAAACTGAAAACACACTTACATAAATCATTTTATGACATAAGTAATCAAAACAAAACTAAAAAAAAATAGATATGAAAAATAAAATGATGTCAAGGACTTTAATAATTGACTCAGTACCAAATTTAGAATTAATATGTTATATGTTGAAAATCTTATTGAAGGTCATTCTGAATATATGTAATAAAATATAATGCATCAGTAATATATTTTACGGGTCTAAAAAGTCAATATAATTGTTAATCGAAAATATAATAAAAATAAAAACTTACATTTAAGGGTAAACGCTCATGTAATCCAATAAATAAATAAATTTATTCATAAATACTGGTATTACCGTAAATAATAATACACTCACTATTTACAAAAGCGTGAAGTAAGAAACTTTATGTATGGCTTCTTTATATCTACATTGAAGGCGACTTATGTGTAGTCTTTGCTTATAGCTTAAACAGCATAATATACACTTGCAAACATTATATCGCTTCTTCTTCGAGCTAAGATGTGAAGGGTATGACTAATAACGAGGAAGATAAGTAAATAAAACAAAAGAATATTGTAGAACTAACATGAACTTTACACTTGATATTGTTTGTTGAAGTATTGATTTAATCATGAAAAAACAATATATCCGGATTTTTCTTTTTATACATTTTGCCAATAAAAAGGCATATCAAAGTAAATCAAATTATTTAATTTATCGATGCCATAATTCAAGTTATCAAAGTTATACCACAATGCTTTATGTTTATTTGTGTCGCAAATTAGTTTGTTCTGAAATTTATGAAGACAAGTGTCATGTCAGGAAATACGGCCCTTAAGAAACGTTAGACTTAAACCCACCATTTCGAAATGAATGAATAGCAAAAAAAGAAATAGTTATTGTTATGGAAGTAAAATTAATTGATATGAATGATACTTCATTTAAATTGTCAAAAAATTATAAATGAACATTTTTAATAATTCTTTTTTTTTTATTATATTGGCATTTTATTTTAAGGGACAACAATCACAATAGTCTAATATTATTGAGAGGAATTCACAGTATGATATGAATATCTTTACATATTATTTTTCAATGTTTATAGTTTGATTGATGTAAAGTAATGGTTGATTACTTGAAGTTATATTGTTTTTGAAAGAAGTGTTGTATTTTAAAGCGATATCGCGTTTATAAAAAAACTAAGAAAATATAAAAACAATATCAACAGGAAATTTGATCGCATGAAGAAGACAGAAAGTGAATGTTTTTTTATTAATACACAATTTTTATACCTTGTATTGTACTTTGTCATAGGGCGATTCAGTTGATTATGTCAATTAATTGGTCACGTGCATAGGAAATGTTATTTGCATTAAGTTAGATTAATTGTGCAAAATAATGCAGATTTACAATATTAATCTTATTGTACTTTACGTCATAAGCATGGTGATACATTTTTCTGTAAATATGAATCTATTATTATAAGTAGACAAAAATTAAACAAGATACTTACTGCTTTTATATAGAACAAATGAGAACAGAAGGGGACATAAAACTTTTTATAATAACGTTTACTGCAAATATCAGGAAATACGGTCCTAACCAAACGTTAGGTTTAAATCCACCATTTCGGAATAAATAGCAAAAAAAAGAAAGTGTCAACTTAAAGCAGTTTATAGAATTGACCTGTTCCTCAATTTTTTGTTATGGAAGTAGTGTGGAAGTAGAATATATTGATATAAATGATACTACATTTACATTGTCAAAAATATAATTTAACATTTTTAATAATTCTTTTGTGTATTATAGTGGCATTTTATTTTAAGGGCACAATGTAGTCTAATATAATTGACAAAAACTTGTGAGAGGAATTCGCCGTATGACATGAAGATCTTTACATCTTATTTTCCAATATTTACAATTTGATTGATAAAAATAATTTTTGATATTTGTTTAGTTTGAATGATGTCAAGTAATAGTTGATTACCTGAAGCTTTTTTGTATTTTGATATTGTGTATAAAAGAACTGTAATATCTTTAAGCGATATCACGTTAACTTTATAAAAAAGTAAGAAAATATAAAACAATATCAAATTGAAATTTAATCGCATAAAGAAGACTGGAAGTGTATTTGTTTTATTAATACACATTAATTGAACTCTGATTTTTACTTTGTCATAAGGCACTTCAATTTATGATTTCAATTAATAGGTCCTGTTCATATATAATGTAATTTGCACTTAGTTAAATTAATTGTGCAAAATTATTCACTTGTTGATTTACAGTATCAATCTTATAGACTAAGTATTTTACATAAGCATGGTGAAATATGAATCTATCATTATAGGTAGACAAAAATGTAAAAAACAGAGTGTTAATCAAAAACGTTAGATTGCTATTACATACAACACATTTTAAACAGAAGGTGACATAAAACTATTTATAATTATGTTAAATGCAAATATATATGGCTACACATTAACCAGAGCTTAGATTTCAGATGTCAATTTCAGTACTGTAGAACATATGATCAAGTTAAAGATAAGCATATTAATGAAATGCAAATCTTAACGGTAAACTCTCAGTTTAACAACCAATCCTGCAATTTGCGCGTATAATCCGTTATTTGACTTCAAAACTAAGACCATCACGTTGATATTTTAAAGATGATACACATACTACCGGTATAGACCAGAATATCTAGCTCAAGGGTAACTGTTGACGGCGGTCTCGACAGCTAGATATTTCCGTGTGTTGTTCTTTTTTTTACATATAAGATATTAATCATATTTCGGAAAGAAATTATTAAAACAAATATTTCCATATAGTACTTTTTTCCTGAAGTAGATTTTGAATAAGTAATTTCATTAAAAATGGAGAAAATGACGTCATCCTAAGGATGCAAACAATTCATAATGGCGTCATTTAAAGCACGCGGCCTAGGGTGTAAGGCAGATGTAAAACAGGTTTTCTAACGCCGGTTTAAATTGTAGATAAACCTGCCTGATATGCAAGCACACACAACCATTTGAATCTCCTGAAATGTTGCCATTTCCTCATTTAGTTCATAAATAAAAAAAACAAACATCATTACGAGAAACAACCACAAGAATTGTATTG